TAATTTGCTTGTCTCTTATTTTTCTTTCTTATTTGTCAAATCCCACTATATAATATATATATATATACAAAATTATATTATTGGCCCATTACGTATCATCCTCAACGTCACTTAAGAACAAATTTTCACACACAGGTTTTCACACCGTTACGAAAGATTTTCATTTTCCCTCCAACCACCGTGGGATCTCATAATTCTTAATTTTCATAAAAACAAAAATTTAGTTTCATAATAATTTAATTTTTATATTTTTAAGTCTATAATAATTTTATTACAAATTTGGAAGTATTTATGAAATTTTAAGTTTAAAGTAAAAAAACCATTATTTGAAAACAAAGAATATACAATAACTATATAATATTTAGTAAATTTATAATGTTATATCACAATACAATAATATTATTCTCACTTTTTAATTTTCTTTTTTTTTTTTATTTATTTCAAACCAAATTGAGATCTCCATTAGCCTCAAAAATCAAAGTGGTGGACGGTGGTGCTTTGCAATTTTTTAAGTGGAAAAAATGTATACATCTTCTTCATGTAAAAAAATATATTTTCAACCCATATTAAAAATATATTTTTTTATTATTTTTTAATTATAATAATTAAACTGAACACAACGTTGTAATATTAAAATAATTTCTTAAGAAGGATGTATAGTTTGCTTATTAAATTAAGATTTTTTTTTAGCATTTTTAATAAATATTATATTAAAAATAAACTATAAAACTTTGTTTTTCTAAAGAATAATAAATGAGTAAAAATTATTCCGGGAAAATTCCATCCAACCTAATGAATCTCAAATAAATAGAAAATTTAGTAGGGATGAAGAATGAATTAGATGGGAGAGATGAGGCTGCTCCGTCCCTACGGACATCTATATTCTCAATCCTTTCAAGCCCATTTTAATAATTGTACGTGAATCTCCACTATGGTTACACCTTGAAGCTCATAATTTCTTTGTTGGATAGCAAATGATTTTTGTTACATAGTTAAGTTAGAGATATGACTCTAATACCACTTGTTAGGAACAACGACTTTTCTCATTTCTTTTCATGACTTTGTTTTTTTTGTTATGTTAGAAAGTCTCGTACCAATGAAGATAATATCTCTTTTATTATAGTCACGATCATCCTTTTTGTCAATAATTCTTGTGAGGGAGCTTACCAGCAGCCTGCAACATTTTCAAACTCATAAAAACCCGAAACTAATATTTTTAAAACCCTAAAATAAGTGAATATTTGGGAGTTTGGGAACTGAGCCCATCTGGCTGACTGACCCTTGTTCTTCAAAAAAAAAAAAAAAAAAAAAACATTAAAATCCTTAAGTAATCATATAGTAATGATGTTTTTTGGGGTTTGAGTTTGTTTAGTATAAATGTTTTGGTGTTTTCCTGTTGATCTTTGGTGAGCACAGAATATTCTGTCTTCAACCAAAGCTAAAGCCTCCCCCATGCCTTTTCTCAACAGTCCTGTTCTCTCTCTCTCTCTCTCTCTCTCTCTCTCTCTCTATATATATATATATATATATATATATATACTTATATATTTCTGTCTTGTCTTTGAAGGTGTCTGTATTTTAATGGAAGTTGTAGGGAAAAGCAAAATGTTGGCTGTAAGGGTATGTTTGTTTCTTGGCTTGTCTTTTACTATATAATGTGTGTACAAATTTTAGTAATGGCTACTTCTATTCCCACCCACTAATATTTTTGCAATTTATATACCAATTTGGAAAACTTTAGATCAAAATCGAGTCAAATTTGGTTGAATTTAGATATGATTGTTGTCTCAATAGTTTGAGGTTCATTCTATTTTGTAGCGGGATAATCATTGTGCGACACTTGTTCTAACCTAGCAAACAAGTCAGAACATCGACATATGCTTAAGTCTCGAGTCATGTTTGAAAGAAATGTTTTTTAAAACATGAGCAAGGAAATGCGTTAAAACTCGATGGCAGTAGTATGACCAAGAATCTTACCTTCCATGATACATATTGTAGTAGTATAACCATAAAACTCAAGCACAAGTTGGATTGGGTGACCCAAGCAACTTAAATAGAATTCATAACCACACTCTACCCAACTTCTCATTTTTAAGTTAGGTTGGATTGTCGATTTTTTTAAAAAAAAAAACTTACTTTCCACTATGCCTACTATATTAATAACTAAAATCTCATAAATTTCAGATATCAAATATTTATAAATCACATTACTATCATTGGTTACACACATTAAATATTCAATCTTTTAGAAAATATAATAAAATTGGATTGTAACTCTATTTTCAGATTTGTTAGGTAGTTACAAAAAAAAAAAAATATATATATTATTCTGACTGACTGAACTCAGTTTTCAAATTTTAAAAAATTCAATAATCTAATCCAAAATAATCCGATTATCCTATTCATACTTTTTTTAAAGGAATAACATTAATTAAATATGAAAAATATATTTTTTTTAAAAGAGGAAATAATGGCTGCATGATAAAACTTTGGATTTAATATTTAAATTACATAGAAATATTGGAGGAAGAAAGATAAGGTGGGGAAGGGATTTATTTATTTATTAAAATTAAAATTTTATGTGAGGGAAGAAGCTACAGAAACCCCACATGCTTTGGCTCATAAAAAGACTTTTTTTTTTTTAATATATATATTTTTAAATTATTATTATTTTTTATTTTCAAACCTTTTACACCCAAAACTTAGCACCATGGATATTCATATATTCTCAAATAATTATTTGTTCTTTTCATATCTCTTTGGTCCTACCAAATTTCATATTACAAAAAAAATTATTTCTTTTTTTGCTAATTACATTTTTGCACAATCTTATAGAACACCCGATCTTTACAATGAGATAAAATTATCCACTTTGAATCTAAACTCTCGTGATTTTATTTTAATTTCTTGAAAAAAAATTTATATCAGTATCACTTACTTATATAGTCGTAATTTTTTCCTTAATTAATCGTCGTAGGATTCCAACAACCAGATATAATATATATATAACTCAAAACATGTTGAAAATGGGTAAGAGGAAGGGAATGTGATGATTGGTTAATGATGAAAATGTTTGCAAAACTTGGGTTTGATGAGAGAGAAGGGTAAATAAAAAGGGTTCGAGGGGTTGTTTGGTAAATAACAATATACTTTGTTGATATATAATAAGAATAAAGATTATCTTTTTGGTCCAAGAAAAGGCAATAATTTATATAAAGCCCTCCACTTTCTCTCCTTATAAAAGGTGGATCAAACTTATAAACCCTAATGAATCTCTCTCTCTCTCTCTCTTCCTTTTTCTTTTTCTTAGAGAGAGAAAGAGACAGAATTAAAGACAGTGATACATTAAAAAAATAAAAATAAAAACACGACAAATTTCCACTAACTAAAAAAGAAAAAAAATTAAATGGAATTAATCAACTACCAAACTATCCATAATCATGCAATTAATTTAATGTCGACCAATAATATAAATAACCTAGGGCTATAGACTATAGACTATAGACATTAAAAAATGAAATTCAACACAATAATTCAATCATGAAATTAAAATAATTAAATATACCGATGTAATGACTCTATTAAGGTTTATGAAAATCTCTCCCTTGTTGACGCGTTTTAAAACATCGGGAGAAAACTCTGGGAAAATCCAAATAAGACAATACTTGTATTAGAGTAAGACATCGGGCTGTGTGTGAATGAGAACGTTGTGCCTTTAAGGAGGCAGATTGTGAGGATTCCACATCGATTAGAAAGAGGAACAAAACATTCCTTACAAATCACCGACATGTTTTACAACTTTGAGAGTTGATTGGAAGGATCTCATATTTGTTGGAGAGAGAGAAACAAAACTTTCTTTATAAACCGACATGTTTTAATATCTACTCGTGGTGGATTTGGGCTGGATCAATTCTTAGGGATTAAAATCAACGAAAACGAGACTCAATGACCATGCTCGTTTATTTTTAGAAATAGAAATATATTTTTTTTCTTTATAATTTCTAGAAAAAAAAACATTATTAAAGGGTTTTAATGCAACAAAAGTTAAAGCATTTGACCTGGTCAAAGAAAATATTGTCCCTTACATTTCCCTCTAAATTATAAACTATATATTAATTTTATCTTTTATTTTCTTAAAAAAAAAAAATACTTGCTTATTAAGGCCTCTCTTTGGGCTTATTTAAACTAAAGCCCAAGTTTTCCTTGGATATTATTTGGGCTCACCTTTCAAATTGGGCTGATTGGGCTTTTATTCCTGACTGATTAAGCTGGTAAAGGATATTTACGTAAATAACCTATTTATACCTGCTATTTACAATAAATAATAACACCAACTAAAAATTTTATATTTAAGAAAATCTTTTAAAGATATCTTCGAACAGATATTTGTGTAAGGATTTTTTTTAATCAAATCAGAAAAATAAATAATAAATAAGGTGACACTTCCCTCCATCAATAAATAAATAAATTACGTGACATTATCAATCAAACCACGGCATTAAATAAATAAATCTTTTATTCATTTTTTATTCAATTTAATAATTTTTAGAACATTTTAAATTCGAATTTCAACTCAAAAATTCGGATGATTTTCGAGTTAGGGTTAGAAAATTTTAACTTAAAAAAAATTATTCGATACAATCTTACATAAAATATATATTCACCATAGAAACAAATTAATCTTTCATGACTTTGCTTTGGTTTTCTCAAAATGGCTGAGAGAGTTTTTCATCGTCCAATAATAATAAATATATTAAAATTTTAATAAAATCTATTTACAGCATTTTGAGTGATAAAAATAATCAAGAATCTACCGTAAAAATATTAGAACAATATTAGAACAGTAAAAACAAAAAAAACAAAATTTGATATTTAAAATTATTTACTTTCTATGGGATGAAAAAAAAAAAAAAATTGAGTGGCTTCCCAACAACAGAAATTCCATTTACGAAATCTAATTAGGAAAAAAGGAAAAAGAATTCCCTGAATTGCAAGCAAAATTGAGCAAGAAAATGGTGAAAGATTGATAGAGAATAAGGGAAGGGAAGGGAAGGGAAGGGAAGGGAAGGGAATAATTCAAAGCCACAAAGCGCCGGCTTGTTTCAAAATAGGAACCAAATCCCCAGAAATATGCGTAGCCATCACTCTTTCCAGCCCTCCAAACAGGGCCCCCCCAATAAACACCGCCGGCAACTCTACCTTCCCGTTCCCCAGTTGCGCGATTGCCTCCAATTCCTCCACCACGCCGGATTCTTCGTCTTCCTCCACCTCATACACCGCCGGATTCGCTCCAAGTCCAAGAAGCAGCCGCTTCACCACATGGCTCATACAACACCCTCTTCTAGCAAACACTATCGCCGCACTTTCCGACACGGACGCGCTCACATCGCGCCATGATCCACTGCCCCGAAATGCCACGCTCACTCGGCTCTGTTTTGTGCCAATTGATCTGTAAGGAATTGCTTGGTTCATGGCGCCCAATTTCTAGAGATAGAGAGAGAAATTCTTGAATTACTGGGCTTTCTATGGTGGCCTCGTGGGGATTTAAATGAACGGTAACTCCAGGCGTCAACGGCAGTTCGGCAGAGCTATGAAATCAACGGTACGCGGAGAGTGACGATGGTGGTCCCCACCTGACGTCATTCCTTTTTTTTTCTTTTCGACTTTTTATGTTCTTAATTAAGGAAAAAAAAAAAAAAAAAGACAAGAAAACGTGAAGAACAGCTGATGGCGTGTCATCATTGAGCAAGGGCCCGCCACGTGGAAAGCTAATAACTTGCATTCATCACCTCTCGTCCTCGTCGGCGAACCAAACTATCTCTGACCCACCCCATTTTTGTCCGCCGTGTCAAAAGGATAACGATCTACGTGTTCCATGACGTCACTTCTTTTCCACTGACTATATTTATATTAAAAACATAATGATTATTTTTTATTTGATAATTAATTTGAATATTATTACTTAAAATCGTCACCCATGCCGACCTTCCTTGCCGATTCGGCTTTCATCCACAGTTCTCACAATAATAAATTATATTCAATTTAATTAATAAATACACGTTGAATAAATGTTTGAATTCTACCATAATTGCTTATTTGGTTTTACGTGTGCGTTCCAATAAATTTTTAGAACTAATATTAATATTTCATAAAATCCAAATGACAAATATTCACAATAATTACAACGTGCCGGGTTGATGTCAGGTTTGGTTAGTTTAATTGGTCTGATAAAAAAAAGTTATAACGTAATGCGTCTTATTCAAAATTCCTTCTTTCATGTTCGAAAAATATAATTCGAAAACTCGTTTAGACAATATTAAAAGACTACCATAGACTTAATAACCACGTTGCATCCATTGCCACCGTCCAAGTTGGAATCCTTCAAAAGGAGAGAAGGAATCTTATTAATAAATAAAATGCGTTTAAATTTTTATTAGTATTTTGTTTAAAAAAACAATTATGTTTCAAATATATTTTTCAATTTATATATATAACAGTGTGGCGTGGCTGAAATCCGGTCAAGGTTGAGACGAGGATAGGGAATGTAATTCCTTTGCCCGACTCCTTTTTGTTAACTAAGAAAAATCTTTCTTAGTCCTTCTCGGTTTAGACTAAATTCCTAGTCTCATTTGATACGAGTTTTCGTGTGTTAAATGGACATTCCTATCTAAGAAACGTGTGAACTCGACCCTCTGTTGCTTTAACACAAACTATACACTTCAAGAGCTTTCAATATCTGAAGAAGATAGTTCGAAAAAAGCTCTAAAGAGTCTCATAAGCTCCTTCTCCAGCCATCTTAAATCTCCAATTCTTTCCATGTGCTTGCAAAAGAGATCTCCCCATCATAGTTTGATCTCATTCCCACTTTACACTTTTCCCTTTGCGTGCAGCTAATAGCTTCTTCATCACAACCGCCACTATTAGGTCGTCCTCGCGCTGAGTTTCGTTCTTCAGCCGTTGCTACGATCGATATCTCTTGGCCGGATGAATGGCTGAGGATATTCCGATGTTCACCATGGAAAGACATTGATTTGGAGTAAAGGGTCGAAGAGGATTGCTTGTTGGAAAGCCCCCGTTTCGACCTTTTCTTCCAGTTCTTGAGGCCTTCTACAATGCCATCAGTGAATACGGTCCTCTTTAGGCTCGACCCCATCTACCAAATTACGTACATTTTTAGTATCGATTCATCAATTCGTGAAATGGGTTCGTGTTCAAACATTTGTTAAGCATACTAAATCGAGTAATACGAGTACCTGAGTGACGAGAGCGTAAAGAGGCAGCGTGACATATCCACAAAGCAGCTGAACTCCAACGCCCATCCCAAGCCTGATAGCAATATCTTCATTCCTTCGATTGAAGCATGATTTTACCCCAAATTCAAACTGTTCTACCAATTCAGCTAAAACTCCCTTAAAAAAACAAACAAAAAAGACATAAAAATTCTTGTTTGATTTAGTTTGATTTGTACGTACCCATGCCCACGTGAAAAACGCCAGCTGAAATGAGTTCTGCCATTGAAATCAAATTCAAAGTCGTTAAGTTCATGGTGAGACTCCTACATTGGTTGGGGAGGAGAACGAAACACCCCTTAAAGGGTGTGGAAATCTTTCTCTAGTAGACATGTTTTGGGTGAAAATTATTTACCTGAATAAGGACGAACTGGATTAGGTGAAGAAGCCAGTTGGGTTTGCTAAACCAGAAGAGTTGATCGTGAGGCTTCACTGTAAATTCTCCTTGACTTATGGGGTTTCTTTTGCTGCTTTCTACACACATTGTTGTTATGATCACTTCCAGCTTTGTTCCCACAGTTACTACAATCTTGTCAATTTTTTACACAAACAATTAATCTATGTATCATTATATCTTGCTTGTGTGAGTGAGTCTAGTTCTTACCACTAATGGAATGAATGGGAGCCAGTAATGGTTGTAGAACTCTGCAAAATAATGACATGGGATTTCAATATGAGACTCAGATTCATATACGTGATACTTGAGTACTCGAGTAATGGAGGGTAAATGAATGAAATGAGACCATAATTGAATGAGAGCAGTCTTAATGATAGGCTCCCTGAGACAAGGTTAAAAGAATTGAAAGTTAATATCTATATTAACAAGGTGTCACTTCGTTTTCGGTGGCTTAATTATAAGAACTCCACATATTTTATGAGATTCCACATTGGTTGGAGAGGAGAACAAAACATTTCTTATAAGGGTGTAGAAATCTCTCCCTATCAGACTCGTTTTAAAATTGTGAGGCTGACTAAAGCCGACAATATCTGCTAGTGGTGGGTTTGAGCGGTTAGAAATAGTATCAAAGTCAGACACCGAGTAGTGTGCCAACAGGGACGTTGGACCCTCAAGGGGGTGGATTGTGAGATCCCACATTGGTTGGAGAGGAGAACGAAGCATTTCTTATAAGGGTGTGGAAACCTCTTCCTAACATACGCGTTTTAAAACTGTGAAGCTGGTGATGATACATAACGAGTCAAAGAGGACAATAGCTGCTAGCGGTAGACTTGTGCTGTTACAAATGGTATTAGAGTCAGATACAGAGTGATGTGTCAGCAAGGACGTCGGGACCCCAAAGAGAGTAGATTGTCAGATCCCATATCAGTTTGAGATGAGAACGAAACATTTCTTATAAGGGTGTGAAAACCTCTCCCTAACACACATGTTTTAAAATCGTGAGGTGGCCAATGATACGTAACGGGCCAAAACGGACAATATCTGCTAGCGGTGGACTTAAGCGGTTACAGTTTTGCTTATAACAATTCTAAGTTTGGTGACCTCTAAGAAATTTGTTTAAGAAGCATTTGAGTGATGATAAAGAACGCTGAAAGGACCCGTGGGGATAGCTTTTAGTCTTAGAAGTAAGTAACGGATTCATGCCATAAGATATTTTGAATCTTAGACATGGAACGTTACATGCAAAAAAAAAAAAAATAAATAAATAAATATTGTTATTGAAGTTAGATGGTCGAATTTGAGTTGATATAAGTTAATGAGTGGAGTTGTTCAAGTGGATTCTATTGTGTTGTAAAAATAATAAAGAAAAGATGGGGATGGAGTAGAATTTCTCACCATGTGCGCTGAAAAATATAAAAAGAATGGAGAAAATCCATATCCAGAACCTGCAGCCATACCCAAACAAAGTCATAATTCCATTAGGAAAAGAATGAGTAATTCACCAAGGTGGCTTATTTGTACCTGATTTGAATAACCTGCACAAAATCATGATCAAAAGCTCTATGAACAAACTTCTGGAAGTTGAACTCACACCCTCCAGCAATGTTGGACTGTAAACAAGAACACGAAGAACACGAAGAACACGAAGAACATGAAGAACACGAAGAACAAGAAGTTATAACTCAGACGTTTTTTTGGTTACCGTAATGAAGCCATTGCGAAGAGTGAAGTAATCAGATTTTGAAACTGAGCCACTGAATTGTCTTATAAAGCAAACCTTTTAAGTTATAAACCAAAATTCAATGAAAGTTCAATAAAAAAAGTGATCAAATTTGAGAGAGGTGAAGTGATATTACAGGCCAAACCAAGAGTGGATGAGTGGCGTAGAAATTTAGATGTCTTCTCCCAATAGATGTTTGACTTGTGAGCCGGAATCTCCTTGGATCTGCAGATTTGGATTTCATTCATATCACTCCCAACACTTTGTTCTCTGTCTTTATTTGACTTGTTTTCTTTGTTATTCTATATAAAAGAGTCTACATATTCATACAATTGGATCTAAGAACAGTCGTAGTTATGCAAACATGTAGATCATAAATGCTAAAATCTTCGGATAAATATATTACTTTTCAAAATTTGATCTAATTACCTCCAAAACGATAAGGAATCATCTAAAACGGAATTGCTCAAAGAGGACAATGTTATACGATTGTGGAAGGTCTATGGATCTTAATATGGTATAAGAGCCCCAAAAGTATAGTCAAAAGTGACTTAAGTGTTGAATAAAGGGGTACTTTGTTCGAGGGTTTTAGAGAACGAGTCGAGCCTTGATTGAGGGGAGACTGTTTGAGGGATCCATAAGCCTCAAGGGAGGCTTTATGGTGTACTTTGTTCGAGGCGAGAATTGTTGGGAAAGGAGTCCTTTCGATCCCAGCTCGTGATATAGATGATGTTAGCTTCAGTTTATAAGTAAGAAATACATTTCCATTAGTACGAGACCTTTTGGGAAAACCAAAAACAAACCCAAAGACAATATCATATCATTGTGGAGAGTCGACAGTTCTTAACAGATTATATCAAGCTTGAATTATTCTAAACAATTGTAAATTTGTTCGTTCTAAGCTAAACCAAAGCAACGTACAATGACTTTATTTAGCTTCAAAAACGAAAAGAAAGCAAAGAAGGTACCATTGGCCATCTTATAATCAAGAGCTTGAGTCTCCTTCTCCCATGCTTTCCATTTTCTAATCTGCCCACATAGATTCTCATTCTTTTAAGCCAAAAATTCAAACCAAAAACTTCGACAAAGAACATAACTTGTTATGTTTGAAAGTGATACCTTGGCGATCCCTAAACACATTGTGAAGATACAATAAAGAACATGAAACACAGCCAACAAGGAGATCAAGATATTCAGCTGAGAAACACCTTCCCTCGACATCAAAGAAACCATTCCCTAATCAAATTCATTCACAAATGGGTATTCTTTTAATAACATTTTTAATAGCTTTTCAAGTGATATAAACCTCGAAGATCAATCCGTTGTGAGAAGCTATAATGAAGCCTATAATAAAAGTTAAATATATTCGGTACTAAATATTCTTAACAAGTGAATCATTTACCTTCGATTCACAATGATCAGTTTGGTCTGAGTTGACCACGGGAGTTTGAGTGGAAGCGAAAACAACCGAATCCATGGACGCCTCCATAGCAATATCTCTGCATGGAGGAAAGGATTTGGACACCCTTTTGGTGACACAAATATTTGGAATGGATGCCTCCGTGAATGCCAAAAGCAACGAGATGAAACCCATCTTCATCATTTCCGTTTTGATCTTTCCCAAAGCCCTTTTGAAGGATTTGAATTTCCTCCTCCTAAGAAACTGAAGAAAAAATCATAAAAATGGTTCGAAATTTGTTGTATCGAACCGGGAAAGCTTCATTTACCTTTGTAAGGTGGTGAAGTGAAGTCTCGATGATGAAAGCTAAAAAGAAGAACACGAAAGTAAAGACCGCAACAGCCCAAGTTGGTGTAGTTTCAAGCGAACCACGGCTGATTTCTCCCATTTTTGAGTTTTTGTTAATGTTCTAAGTGTTCTTATAGAGATAGAAAACGTAGATTTGGTCAAAGGCAATCAATGAATCATATGGAGAATTTGCATGCAAGAATCGGGACAAAGATCAAATCATCAACTTGATTGAATCATGTGATAAGTGCGACAAACATGGCTTCAAATACTGACATTATTGGATGCTAAAAGTCAACGCTTTCATAAATTATTTTACTCCAAAGTCTTCGTGCTCTTATCAGCATCTTGGTTTTGTTTATTAAATCTGTACGGTTCTTATGCAGTCTTTAAAGTACTTTCCTTTTTTTAATTATTTTTTTTGTCCGATAGAGTTTAACTCATTTATATGTCTTTATTCTATTTAATATATTTATATATTATAATGAAAGATATGCAATGGGTTAATAACGATAATTATTGAAAATAACTAAAGATTCTGAGATTGCGGGTCACTTTAAATTTTAAATTTTTTAGTTGTATAGAACGCGAAAAAAATTTAGTTGATGAACTACGTTTACAATGTTATTTGTCCTTAAATTCATGTAAGTTTAATCATTTATATTAACAAATTAAGTTGATGGGTTTTTTTTTTTTTTTTTTTAAGTTGAAAGTTTGGTAAGATTATGAAAGTGAAAAGAGTTTAAGAGAACGAGTCTACGTTAGTTTAATCAACGTTACGATGTTTTGGGACAAAAAACACTGCACTGAACATCATGTAATATAATCAAACCATTGACGAAGAGAATGTATCAAAAATTTGAATGTGTTATCATCAAAATATAGGTAGGATTAATGAAATGCAAGATTATTTATAAAAAATTAAAATATGTCGAAAATAAAATTTAATAAAGAAATCAAAAAATTAATTAATTTTCATAATTTAAAGTTATGAACTTTATTGGAAAATGGCGTGCAGAAGGGACGAACCATTCCCAAAGATTATTACCCTCATTATGCTCATTCCCCAAAAAGGGGAAAAAGAATTAACGAAATGCTTTGGAAAGTTCTTCACAGGAAGAAAAGAAAGAAAAAGAAGCAAAAAAAGGGTAAAGGATGCTACCGAAATTGGAGTAAATTCGAGTCTTCAATTTCGTCAACATCGAATTTGTAGAGAATCGATCCGACCTTAAAGCTCAGAACGAAGAGGTAATCTATCTATCTATCTATCTATCATCTTCTTCCTTGAAGCTTGCCCAGATTTTCGAGCCAAAATTTCTTTAATTTGGCGGGTAATGATTCTGTTTTTGTTTAGGGTTTTTATACTTAAATTAGGGCTGAAATGTTCGTCCTCTTACTCGGATTTCGAAACTTGAAATTCTTCAGCAATCTTTGATAGATTTTTCGATGGCTGAGAGATCATGATGAATTCGAAATTTTATTTGTTTTCAAAATTCAATCTCATATTATCTGAGCTGTGAGTAATCGTGAGTAGAAGAATATGCATTGGCGACCTGAAAACTCTATGTATGTGTTTCGATGATCCAAATGATTTTCTTTTTTCTGAGTTCATCCTGTTTGAAAATCTGGAAGGACTCTGTTTATGAGTTTCATCTTGTGATTTATTTCGATTCAGTGGTGGAAAAGAGAGGGATCAATGCCGAGGGGTTTGAAGAGTAATTGCCAGTCTACTTCTCATCAGCTTTTGAAGGAAAAAGCAAAGAACCGTGTGAATGATCTTCAAGGGATATTCACTAATCTTCAATCTGCAAGGAAGGAGAGCCGTACTACCGATGTTGCTGTCTTGGAGGAGCAAGTGCATCAGATGCTCAGGGAGTGGAATGCCGAGCTTAATGAACCATCCCCTGCCTCTTCATTTGTTGTAAGCTTCTTTAATTTCTTTTGCAAAGGGTGTTTTTCTTTTGTAATCTTAATGGTTCTACATGTTTAATTAGGAGGGCAGTCTTGGATCGTTCTCACAAGAATTAGCTCGTCTTCTTGAGCATTTCGATGAGGAAGATGATGCAACTAGCACATTGGCTGAACCAAAGGTCGAGCCTGATCAACATTGCGTTCTTGCTTGCAATCCGTCTGATTTTCAGCAGGTAAGACTTTGAGCATTTGGTTTTCTACCATCCCTTATGTTTAATGTAATAGATTCTAACTAGCTGAATTAATGCTGCTGCCAGCAGCATAGTGTTCTTGGATTTGAAGAGTGCAAAGTCAATAGTGAAGATTTCAAATTAGATCAGAACTTTGTGCAGAACTTAGTGGTCGGTATGGATGATATGTCTACTATGGATTGTCGTTTATTGGATTCGCACCAAGAGTTCGACTATGGGGTGCTTATCGGGGCGTATGATGCGGGAGACTTTAGTCAGGACACAAAGCCTAGCATTCCCCCATACATCTCGCCCCCACCATCTGCTTTTATGGGGCCAATGTGTGCACTCTGGGATTGTTTCAGACCTGTTCAAGGATCTAAATGGTGCCAGGACTATTGCAGTAGCTGTCATTCCATGCTTGCAATAAATGAAGGCCTTCCAGGAATGGCTCCAATATTGCGCCCTGGGGGCACTGGCTTAACAGATGGTCCACTATTTGCTGCTCTTCTTGCAAAGACACAGGCCAAAGAGGTGGGAATACCTATATGTGATGGTGCTGCAACAAGAAAATCTCCATGGAATGCTCCTGGTAAGCATTTGTGTTGCTTGAACTTTTTCTGTTTTCTTGGTTTAATTTTGTGTTTGTTAGCCCATTTCAATGATATAATCTTAGATCCCACGTTGGTTGGAGAGGGAACAAAGCATTCTTTATGAGGGTGTGGAAACCTTTCCCTAATAGACGCGTTTTAAAACTGTGAGGCTGACGGCAATATGTAACGGGCCAAAGCGGACAATATCGGTTAGTGGTGGGCTTAGGCTATTATAAATAGTATCAGAGCCAGACACCGGGCAGTGTGCTAACGAGAACGCTGGGCCCCAAAGAGGGTGGATTGTGAGATCCCACATTGGTTGGAGAGGGTAACGAAACATTCTTTATAAGGGTGTGGAAACCTCTCCCTAACAGACGCGTTTTAAAATCGTGAGGCTGACGGCGATACGTAACGGGCCAAAGCGGACAATATTTGTTAGCGATGGGTTTAATCTCTTTGTTTTCGAGTGACTTGGATCAATTGGTGTGTGTTCCATCATAGTGATCTTTTCATTGTTGCAGAGCTTTTTGATATTTCATTTCTTGAGGGTGAGACAATCAGGGAATGGCTCTATTTCGACAAACCTAGACGGGCCTTTGAGAGTGGTACTCGAAAGCAAAGGTCATTGCCAGATTATAGCGGCCGTGGTTGGCATGAATCAAGGAAGAAGGTGATGGAGGAGTTCGGTGGTCAGAAGAAGTCCTATTACATGGATCCACAGCCATCAAGCTCACTCGAATGGCATTTGTACGAATATGATATAAGCAATTATGATTCATTTGCATTATATAGGCTAGAACTCAAGCAAGCTGGTGCAAAAAAGAGCCCAAAGGGAAAACTACCAGCTGATCCTCTGGCTGATCTGCAGAAGAAGATGGGCAGGCTTACTGCAAAGGGGCCTGTGGAGCTTGGACAATCAGTCAAATAATTCTTACAATGGGACATACTCGTCCCGTTGCTGCTTTATGTCGATATATACCTCGTCCTGTAGTTTGTCTCATGAATACATGGCATTTTGACCCCTTTTCTTTTCTGGATGCTAGTTCGTTCTAAAGGTTTTCTTTGGAGTTTATTCCATTTATATTCAGTTTAGAAGATGTGTAAGTTGTGTTTGTGTCTAATACTAATAGTTTGAACGGTAATCTTAAGTTTCTAAAATTGTATAGTGGCATTTGTTTCATGTTTTAGCTGTTTGCATTATTTGCACTTCCCTCTCCTTGCAGCAATTTTGGGAAATTCAATTTGATGTTATATTGGTTTTAACATATGAGATAGGGCGTTTGAAATTTTTTAATGGTCATTATCGAATTCAAAATAAAATATTGCCAGTTAGGCAAAGAGTGCAAGAAGCTAGACCCGACGAAGAGACAGGAAGTGAGTTTGGTACAAAAGAAGTAAGAGAAGTGGGAACCATGATTCTCTGACGTTTCCGACTTTGGGAGACCCGAGAAGAAGTGAAACCAAAATGTCAGAGCCTTCTTTGGTAAACAAAAACCAAAACTAGATCTATTGGGAAATGAAAAACAAGACTTTTTTTTTTCTTTTTCTCGAAGATGTGGACAGTACTTCTTTCAAACTTTAAGCACTTGCTTAACATCTTATAAAATTTAAGAACTATTAAACCTAAAAAGAAAAGTTTACAAAAGTTTATTTAAATACTGTTGTGATTTGAAATCTCTATCTAAATTGGGTATACATATAAGCTTTTTCTTATTACAAAAGTTCAAATATACTTCATAATTTCTAAGAATACTGACCAACCCCAATAAATCCTCCCTGCCAAATGTTTGTATGATGATATCAAGGAAATTCTCACCACGGATGCACCTTCCTTTTACTGCACCGAAGGCCAGGAATTGGAGTCCACCCAGTTGTACGCTATAGGGGCCAGGAAAGCGTCGGGTATGCCGAAGGAGCTGACCAGCGCTAGAGCATGCGGTCGTATTTCGCTGCATAGTTTCTTCACTTCCTGCCTCACTGCCCCTGCATTTTCTGGTGATAAATAACCATAGCGGATGAAGGAACCATCTTCCTCCAAGCAGATCAACGCATACATGGATCTCAGTACACCTAAAACATTCTGTAGCAGAAACCATACATATGGACGTTCATATTAGGCAGCATATATCAATGGATAAGAAGTATGCAGTAAACGTTACCTTCACTGGACCCGATGGTACACTATCTTCAACTTCCATAAAAGACTTCAATATGGCTTTTTCAGAGAAAGCTCTGCCCAAGTCTTCTGCAAGCAGAAAGCTCTATAACACCAGAAGGATTACGACGATTAGAGGGTCGAACAGTAAACGATTTATGGAGTCATTGTAAGCCAGTGAATAAGAAGCGAGGAATCTCACCTGAATGAAGGCATATTCTTTGCTATCACCTTGTGCTTCATGTTGAGATACTTCAGCAGCTAAACGATTTAATATATCTCGTTCTCTTAAGCAAAAGGCATCCGTCTGGTGCAGGAAGATGGTAAGAAAATAACGAATGAAACTCGGGTTCACCGATTAGGGAAAAGGTAATGCTAATGTTACCTGGAATTGACAGCTTCTAAGGATAGGACTAGTAAGCTTAGAAGGAATGACAGGGCAGGCCTCATTCATGTGTTCTAATCCCATACCTTTAAATGGTTTATTTCTCTTCTTAGCTGCAATGAACTCAGACAGCAATGCCTTGCTCACCTGCAATTAAGTATCCAGCCCTCCTAAATCCCGCAGGTCTAAGAAGATGAATAAAATGATGTAAACTACATACCTGCTGCATTAGGACATTATTATCGCCTTCAAAAGTAGACTGAACATCAAATTCACTTTTCAAAGGACCAACTCGATTTTCGGACTTTATGCCTTGGCCTCCACATGCTTCACGACATTCCTTGAACATGAAGTATCAAATCTAACGTCAATATCTTCGATCATTTGGATATGCAAAGCCAACAGTAAACGCAAATCCTGACCTGAAGTGTCCTCATATTATGCCAGGTAAAGGTAGCCTTAAATGCACTTGATACAACATGGAGCGTTTTGATGGACTCTGGTGTTCTCTTCATGTAGATCCTTTTCAACTCATTTGCAGCAAAACTCATGGCATATCTGCACAATTAGTATCATTCATAGCCTAGAATCAGCAATTACACCACTAAGATAATTATTGTTCTAATGTTCATAATCTGATAACTTCTTGCATTTTAATCATGCGAGTTCATATTTATTGAATGAATAATTTTCATGTTCACATCCTAGACAATGATGTATGAACTCGATGCAAATTGTATCAGACCAAAGGTATCAGACCTGTACAATGATGTACTAAATTGTGCAGATTTTTTAAGCAATTTACCAGAGTCCACAAGCATACAACAGAATCATATTCAGTATTCTAAAACTAGCATTACAACTAAGACATGGATGTTTCAGTCCAAGGCTTCAATTTCTAGAAGCAGCTCGACACGCATGTGCATGCAGTCCGATCCCAACAATGATTATTCAAATCACATGTAGAAAAGATGAAATAAAGTAAAATTTCCCTCCCTTACAGTCAACAAGAAGAACTTGAAACACTGTCAATCATTAATGCTGAATATAATGTATCTCAACAACGTTAATCTTCGTAGCGAAAGAAAGACGGGGTTTCACGAAAAATAAGATTATGGGCACGAGAGAACTTAAGCTTTGAAGACTCACGTCTTAGCAAGGAGAGGCAGCAATCTCTTTTGATGATTAGGGTAGTCCAGCAATTGGATTTCAGGTCCATTAGGCGTAAGTGAAAAGGCTCTCCTTGTTAATGAGTATCTTATAGCAATTGCTAAACCAACCTGACAACAAATTGATGTGCTTTTTTTATGAACAAACAGCTATAAAATCTAAAAGAATACTATATGGTTCCAAATCCAACAAAATCGATAAAAGCAAACGTTATCGATAAGCAACAAACCTTTGCGGAATAAATTGCAGCAACGGAAATGGTTACACGACCAGATGTCAAAGGTGACATAAATGCTGCAAACCTCTGAAAACATGTAGTAAAAGAATCATCCATGAGTTCAAATAATGGTATCAAATTTAAGAAAGCTTTCTTACTAAATTCATACTCTCAAACGCGCACACACAAGTAAACACTGAATTATCTGGAAAATTAACCTTGTCCGGGTCATTTGTGGCACTTAGATATTTCCCTTCTACTGATACATCAGCTACAGAATTCAACAAATTCTCTCTTGGAATTCGCACATTATCAAACCTGACATGGATTTTCAAAACTGATAATTGTAGAATAGAATGTGCTTCTCCCAGTAATTGAATAAATCTATAGTATATCCAAGATACTTACCAGATCCGACCATTATCAACACCGTTCAAGCCAAGCTTATGGCCACAATCTGCTATACGTATTTGTGGACAGATATTACCATCTGCATCCCTGATCTGAGCTATAAAAGCATGGACGCCTTCATTTTTTTCATTTATGTGAAGCTGTGAAAAGACTATAGCATGTGTTGCATGCTAAAGATTAATAGAAGAACAAGTCAGGGAGGGAAAAGCTGAAACGAATTTCATTGGCACACAGAATAACAATGAATAACAAGAGAGTAGAGTTTGAAATATTGCTTTTACCTTGGCTGCCCCGCCAATCCAGTACTTCTGAGCTGACTCACAGGGAGTATTAATAACAAATTCTCCAGTGCTTGAATCATATTTTGTTACTGTTTCAATTCCTCGAACCTAAAATTATTTACATATGTGGGAGAATTAGAAAACAATAAGAAAAGACAAGCAACTTAACGCAAAATAAGGAACGATCTTCACATACATTACTTCCATGACCGAGCTCAGTCATTGCAAAGCAACCCTTGATCGCATAATTTTCTGTGATCTTTAACCATGCATCATGATGACGCTTTGTGCCAAAGAATTGGATTGCTCCACCCCTGAAATACTTGAGAAAAATTAGTTGTTTTGGGTTAAGTAGTGATATAACATCCAGCATTCAAACTCTTTTCCAGTTAGTATCAATAATCACTTCCTATGGTTAGTGCTAGGTTAAGCTCATTGCTAGCTGATACTCTTCGCTTTGGCCCGTTACGTATCGCCATTAGCTTCACGATTTTAAAAAGCGTTTATTGGGGAGAGAACCACACCCTTATAAGAAATGCTTTCTCACTCTAACCGATGTGAGATCTTACAAATCCACCCCCCTTGGGTGTCCAGCATCCTTGGATGCAGATGCTGGCATACTATTCGGTGTCTAGCTTTAATATCATTGTAACAGCCCAAGCTCAAGCCCACCACTACTAGATATTGTCCGCTTTAGCCCCGTTATGTATAGCCGTTAGCCTCATAATTTTAAAAGATAGGAAGAGATTTCTATACCCTTATAAGAAATGTTTGTTCTTTCTCTCCAACCCACATTGAATCTATCATAACTAATCCACATACAATTCCTACATTTAATATTGATAAGCTCAGAGTCGGAACACAAATGAAAAAGGAAAAAAGAGGAAGAAGAAACAAGTTAGTCAGACATATATAGGCCCGAATTGGAATAATCATCTAAAGAGCATAAAATGAGTATCAAAACATCTTAAAAGGTTATTGACTGTAAAACGATCAACATCGAAACGTACCATAGGAAGACATGAACACCAATCTTAATCGCTAGAGAGTGATCATAAATTCCAATTGCCTCAAACAGCGCAAACTTTCTCCACGCGGCTTCAATTCCATTATCTGTAAGCCAACCCTTGAAAACGCCATTATCCAAAAGGTACTGAATCCGCTTCATCGTCATCTCCCTCTGCTGCTCCATGGATTGATTATAATCAGGGGAAACGAAGACTCGGCCACCGGATTGCACGGGATTGAACAGCTTGCTCTGCATCATCAGCCCAAACATCCAGTCCCGGTCCGGAAGGTTATGAACATCCAAGAGGTTCCGCATCTGTTTGATGTCGAAGGAGAAGCATTCGGAAATCTCCGGAGGGGAGAACTCGAGACATGGATTGGGGCTAAGATCTGAAGTAGTTTGGTGATGAACAAGGTGATTCGAAAGCACCTGAGTTCTCCAAGAAACACGATCCATTGCAGAGAAAAGCCGCGAGAAATTAAGAGAGAATTGAAAACGAAGAAATTTAGTTATACTTCTGCAACAGATAAGAACTTCATTTATAGGATATTCAAAGATAATTATCAATTAAAATATATTAATTATCTTACCTTCCCATCGATAGTATATATAAATTGTTATGTTGAGTTCACATACATTATTTTCATGGCGAGCTTAGCCATTGCAAAACATTCCTTGATTGCATAATTTTTCACGAAATTAATATCTCTCCCCGTAGAAAGAGTTGCACTTGCTAACGAACCTACAATTAGACGGGAATATTATAGTATGAACAAAAGTATAATTTTATATAGAGATATCTATTTAATTTATGGATTGGAGTCTCATGAGGTGAAGATTCTCCTTGAGAATATGTCTTAGTCTAATTTTTTTGACCTCTCAATGACAGTAGAAAATTAAACAAGAAAAGTTTAACACAAAATAACATCTCATTAATTAGAATTAAGTTTATTAAAGAAACTTCATTTATTGGAGAGATGAAGAGAGAATATAGAATTAAATCACCATTGAATTTCTTGCATAGAGTCTGGACCACGCATGGTCTTGGTAACGAGTACGTGATTATAGATTTAAAAGTCATTTACGTGATCTCAATAAATACCACTAAATCCAAAGTAAGCAATATATGCAGCAATAGTTACAAGTGGTATCAGAGCCATGTTATCGGACGGTGTGAGCCATTAGTCGGAATAGGGTTAGACCCTCTCCTTAGTAGGGGAGGGTACAAAGTGGACAAGAATAGACATAGGCATGGACTGTAACTAGGTTTTTCAAATATGACTCGATTAATCAATTTTGCTTAACCATAAATAAATAAGATAAAAGGTTAAGGAAAAAAAAATTATATGCAGTAGCTTATAATTGAATAAATTTAAGGAAATACAAAGGATGAAGATGAAAAGGCATAAAATATAGGTACATTTTCCATAACTTTTCCTCCGAATAATTCTTCTTCTAAGCATGGATCAAATTCATAGGTACAACCTACCTAAGTAAAAGGGCCACTAGAAATTGTGCATGAACATGCGACGCCAAGGAAAAAAAAAAAAAAATGAGAAGAACACAAGATCAGATCATACATAATAAGAACAAAAAAAGAAAAAAAAGACCCATTTGAACCCCAGATTGGGACTGCCGAAGTGGTGTGTTGGGGGAGGGGGAGGGTTGCTATGAAGAACAGCAGCCGGCCTTCTTGACGGCGGAGACATCATCCTTGGAGCCAATGTCGATGGTCTGTCCCTTGGGGAGGACGGTGGGGTCATCGCCGATGTCGAGGATTTTCCGGCTGACGACGCGGTAGGTTTGTGTGAGGACTTCGGTGAAGGAATTCTCGACGTTGAAGGACTCTAAGGCTGAGGTTTCCATGAAATATGTTCTCTCTCTCTCGGCGAATGCCTGTGCGTCCTCCGTCGACACTGCCCGCAGGTGCCGCAAGTCTGCCTTATTCCCCACCAGCATTATCACTATGTTGTGATCTGTGTGCCCTCTTAGCTCCTTTAGCCATCTCTCCACGTTCTCGAATGTTACGTGTCGTGTCACGTCGTATACTATCAATGCCCCCACCGCTCCTCGGTAGTATGCGCTTGTGATCGCTCTGTACCTGTTTCCAAATAATGCCCAAATCTTAATATCAGACATTCATTCTTCCATACACGTAAAAAAAAACAAGAACAATTAGGAGCATATTGAAAATTAGGAGTATAGAGAAAGTCAGATTGTTAAAACATGACTTTCTAATTAGAAAATAAATCACTACCGTATATCTTTCTAATTCGAAACTAAAAATAGTTGGTTATAATATGGGTTTATAATTAGAAACTAGGGTAGTTATTATATGAGTTTATGATTAGAAATTATGAGCATAGGGAGTTCAGGTCATTACAACATGGGTTTGTAATCGTGAATATATAGAACATGGCTTACAATTAATTGTAGAGTCGTTACCGCATATTCTTCTTGCTAGATTCTAATAGTTGTAACATTAAAAGTGGTTAGAAGGTCAAATCGTTGTAATATGGGTTGTTGATTAGAAATTAAGCAATAAACTCGAAATTCAGAAATTGAATTAGGATTAGGGAGAGAGATTAAGGAAATTAAAATCAAAATTAACGGAACGGAGAGGGGAAAGAAAACGAACCTTTCTTGGCCGGCGGTGTCCCAAATCTGAGCCTTGACGATCTTATCATCAACACGGATACTACGGGTGGCAAACTCAACGCCGATCGTTGATTTGGTTTCAAGGCTGAATTCATTTCTAGTGAAACGGGACAAGAGATTGGATTTTCCAACGCCAGAGTCGCCGATCAACACCACCTTGAACAGATAATCGTAATCATCATCGGCTCTGTACGCACCCATTTCTCAATATTGCCAACAAAATAAATAAATAAATGAATAAATCGATCAATAAATAAGGGATCTGAATTAAATAAATACAGAGATCCCGACAGTCTCGAAGGGAAGAGAGAGAGAGAGGGAGAGAGAGAGAGAGAGAGAGAGAGAGAGAGAGAGAGGCTGCCGGAGAAGAGAAGAAATGAAAGAGGGGGCGGAGAGATAATTCAAAAACCGTATCCTTCCAATGTTTTGCTTTTCTTTTCTTTTGTATTTGCTAAAAACGTCGTTCCTTTCTGTTTACCAATCAAATCCAAACGTAATTCAAAACTTTTAATTTCAGTTACAATTTAGATTTAGACCCATTCCTTCTCCTTCTCTCTCCCTATCTCTCTCTCTCTCTCTCTCTCTCTCTCTCTCTCTCTTTTTTAAATTAATTTTGAATTTCCTTAATTTTTTTATTAATTTAAATGTTTAAAAAAATACCCTACTGACCCCCTTTATTTTTTTAAAAAAATTAAAAAATATTTATAAAATTTTAAAAGTAAAACATAAATTATATCTAAATTTTTTATTTTTAAGACTTTTATATTATTTAATTTGAATTTCCTTAATTTTTGAAACGGTCAACTTTTGACCCATCAAAATTAATATTTAGTACCAAACTATATAATAAAAATGTTTCATGAGCAAAGATAAAACTATATGAACATGATGTTAGCCTCTCCGTGTTTGTTTTTATTTATTAAAATTATATAAATTTAATAGCTTATTTTCTTTTGGCAGAACTAAAAGGAGATCTCTTTCACAATGAAAACTTCAGCCCTTTCATATTAAACGAGAAGATTAATATAAGAAGCAAGAACAACAATGAGACCAGCTCAAAGAGAAGTCCATGTCTTCCACTACACAAACTGAATGACATGAAACCCAGCTCAAAGAAACACACATTTTGTGGCCTTTCGTCGCTTTCTCTTCGGTTTCGGTGGCTGTAGAACGACCTTGATGGCAGCATCAAACACACTCTTCACGTTCTGCAAATCACAACATGGGACACAATTAAGGTTTGATTGCTCGATTCAAAATCGTTACATTAGTCAACTCGGTTAAATCTTAACGATGAAGTTGAGGTAGTATGATGCAATGGCTCAATCCCGGCTCTAGCCATCGCCAGTAGATATTATTCTCTTTAGACTTTCCCTTTTGAGCTTTCCCTCGAGGTTTTTAAAACGCGCTTACTAAGAAGAGGTTTCCAAACTCTTATAAAGAATACTTCGTTCCCCTCTCCAGATCTCACATTCCACCCCTACCCCCCTTGGGTGCCTGACTCTGATATTATCCTCTTTGAACTTTCCCTTTTGGGTTCCCTTCAAGGATTTTAGAACGCACCTACCAAGGAGAGATTCCACGTTCCCCTCTCCAACTGATGTGAGATCTCACAATCCACTCTCCTTGGGAGCCAGCGTTTTCACTGGCACACCGTTCAGTGCCTGACTTAGATACCATTTTTATTGACCCAATCCCACCGCTCGCAAAATAGTCTTGGGATTTTCCCTCAAGGTTTTTAAAATACGTCTACTAGTGAGAGGTTTCCACACCCTTATAAACAATGATTCGTTCCCCTCTCCATCCGATGTAAAATCTCACATCTGAGAGTAAACGAGTGGAAAATCGTAAAATGACATATCTTCATGATCAAAGATTTCCTTTCATAGCTCTTTACAGTCAATTGACACATTAAGATACCATTTTTGGCTTCACTTTCAATTACCTGCTGCGTTTTGGAGCTGCATTCTATATAAACAGCAGCACCAATTGACTTCTTCAGTTCTTCACCCTGTCAAAATAAAGCCACCAAGAATTCTTCTTCCATCAGATCCATGAATACGAAAACGATAACTAAGAGAAACAATTCGAGGAGGCTGCTACAATGTGACTGATTCGTTTACGAGCAGTACCTGCACAGTCGTGATCGGAACAGCCCCAGGATGGCTGGACAGATATTGTTTGTCATCCCTCAAATCTGCAAACAAGTAACCATTTAAACATCAAACGACCCATCAAAACTTCCTCAGTTTTTTGATAACTCCCAGATGTGTTTGAACATAATTGTCATTACCAAGTTTAGTTCCCACAAGAACAATCGGCACGGTCGGGGCATAATGCCGCAGCTCCGGGATCCACTGTGAATTGGGATATCAAATAATAAGCCTGATACTCTAATAACAGGAAACAATCCATGGTACTTCAACAAAAACAGATGATAATAATTAACCTTCTTAGAGATATTTTCATAGCTAGCTTTGCTGATTAGAGAAAATGCCAACAGAAACACATCTGCTCCTCTATAACTCAAAGGCCTCAGCCTGTTGTAATCTTCCTGCCCTGCAATTCATGAAGGGCTTCATTTTCTTTCTTCAAACATTCATAAACGAATGACTCTAAATTTCTATAAACTGAAACCCACCCCACATCATCATTCCCTAAATTAGTCAATGTGAGACTCCCCTCGAACAAAGTACACCATAGAGTCTCCCCTGAGACTTATGGAGCTCTCGAACAGCCTTCCCTTAATCGAGCCTCAACTCCTTTCCTTGGAGCCCTTAAACAAAGTACACTCTTTGTTTGACACTTGAGTCACTTTTGACTACACCTTCGAGACTCACAACTTCTTTGTTCGACGTTTGAAGATTCTATTGACATGACTAAGTTAAGGCTTCCTCAAAAGACCTCGTACTAATGAAGATGTATTCCTTACTTATAAACTCAAGATCACCTTCTAAATTAGTCAATCCTCAACACATGATCATCCTCTAAATTAGCGAATCCTCGACAAAAAAGTAAAGTGGATTCAGGGTTAAAGTTTCTCACCAGCAGTGTCCCAAAGCCCCAAGCTCACAGTGCTGCCGTCGACCACCACATTAGCACTAAAATTATCAAAAACCGTCGGCACATAGTCCTAAATCAAGAGGTCAAAATTAGCTCCAAGCTTCCATTAGCAACTAAAATTGAAGAAGGGAAACGAAGGAACACTGAAACTTACACTTGGGAAGGTGTTGCTAGTGTAGGAAATGAGCATGCAAGTCTTCCCGACAGCCCCATCTCCGACAGTAACGCACTTGATGAATCGAGCCGTACTCATTTCGAAACCCCTTTTGAGTTTTTGAATATAATCTTCACCAATCGCTGCGAATTCGATCTCTCAGAAAATGACCCACTTCTCTGATTTTGGTTTCTGAGTCTCCATTGGTAAAAAAAGAGCAAGAAATTGAAAAGGGAAGAAGAAAGAAGATAACGAAAGGTAAGAAGAAGTGGGATTTGGGTTTGAAATTTGAACAGAAATGGAGGGGGCTTAGAGGGGGCTTTAATGATATGAACAAACTGGGAATCTAGCTTCCACTTTTGCTTTGTGGGTGTCAAAAGCTTCCTGTTTCTTTAAGCGGACGCCCAAAACCAAAAAGGAATACACCCAAATTGAGGGCGTTGGGTGATGGTGTTGGTTGGGTTTAAGTGTTAGACAAGGGAGAGATTAAAATGATGAGAATTAAGAACGCAATAAGATATCTAACAAAACTTCTAGGATTAAAAATTTAATGCCAAATAAGTTAGTTTGAGTGTAGCACTTGAAATCAAATGCTTTAATTTGAAATCTCTTTCCAACTTTGGGTCATATATGAAAATGGCTAAAATACCCTCAAATATTCCATTCTCGTCTCTCAATTGGATGATTATAGTTGCAGCTGAAAGTCATGACAATAACAAAAACTTGATCACAGTTGACGAGATAAACTTTATCGAGTTAGTCATTGAAACAAACTTGTGAGATCCCATATTGGTTAGAGGGAGGAATGAAATATTTCTTACAAGGGTATGGAAACCTCTCCCCTAGTAGACACGTTTTAAAATCATGAGGCTGACGACAATATGTAACGGACCAAAACATACAATATCTACTAATGATGGTTTTGGGCTGTTATAAATGGTATCAAAGTCAGACATGGGGCACTATGTCATCGAGGACACTGGACCCCTTTATCCCACATTGATTGGAGAAGGAAACGAAACATTAGTTGTAAGAGTATGAAAACCTCTCCCTAGACATGTTTTTAAACTGACGATGATAGGTACGGAACAAAGCGGACAATATCTATTAACGGTGGACTTGAGTTGTTATAAATGGTATTAGAGCCGAACACTAAGTGGTATGCCAACGAGAACGCTGACCTCCCAAATAAATCCTCACATATATTAAAATAAATGAAGATAGAATTGTTAAGCTTCCAATGAGCTACCTAAACCCTAAATTAAACATAAAGAAAAAGTCATTGGTTTCTTCACCAAATAGAACTCTTTTCATTTACAAACCAATTGGTTCTCCTTCTCATCTTGTTTACTCATTATTAAACTCAAACACTCCCTTTTAATTTCCATCAACAATCAACACAACTTCTAAACAACTCCAAACCCATTTACAATATAAATTCATTAACCTTCCACCATGCATCAATTCCTTTCTCCATGCATGCACGCTCATGCAATTTCTTCCCTCCAACCTAAACACAAAGTAATGCAAAGGCACAACCTTGGAGCTCTGCAGCCCGCCCCGGCCTGCGCGGCGTGCAAGCACCAAAGGAAGAAATGTCACGAAACCTGCCCGTTGGCACCGTACTTCCCGGCCGATCAAAACCGGGAATTCCAAGCCGTTCACAAGGTGTTTGGAGTGAGCAATGTGACCAAAATGGTGAAGAATGTGAGAGAAGAGGATAGGAGAAAGGCAGTGGAGTCTCTAGTTTGGGAGGCTGTTTGTAGGCAAAATGATCCGGTTTTAGGGCCGTTTGGAGAGTACAAAAGGGTGTTGGAAGAGCTTAAAGTTTGTAAAATGGGTCAAAACCAAAGCCAAAGCTCAAACCCATTTGTGGGGCAAGTGGGTTTGCCTTGTTTTGGTGGGTCCATTAGTAACAATGGGAATGGGATTATGGGACTAATTAATGGAGGGGTTAATGGAAGCCATTTGTTTAATTACCTTCATGATAATCTAAGTGCCATTATTGATTCAAGTCCTTATACTAATTCTTCCACTTATAATTTGCAAAGCCCTGAGAAATTGATGAGATTGCACCAAGATCATAAAGAGATTAGTTCAACCATCGTCGTGCCGTTTCAGCCGCCGCCGCCGCAGCAGCAACAGCAGCATCAGCAGCATTCCAATTTCCACCATTGTTTTTAGCCAACTTTCTCTTTGTTGTTGGTTATATTAAAACCATGAAACTGTTGCCTTTTATTCATGAATTCTCAAGTGATCTTCAAACTTGGTACTTAATTTATGTAAACAGCTTGTAATTTTCGTTTGTTTCTTCCGTTTTAGCGGTTAAACTTTTTACTCAAATGTATAATATATTAATTAGTTGAGTTATGCTTACCTTCACAATAAAAATATTGAATTTGATACGGTAGGAAATGTTATCATAATTTCATCTAAAAAAAAGTAATTTTTTTATTTGGTTTATTGTATTAATTGATTTTAACTAATTATATTTTCATTCAATAATAAATATGTTAAGAGTGATATATTTTAAATGGTAGGTTTTTTAGTTTATTTATTAATAATTATTCTTGATAAATGGGTTTTTTTTTTTTTTTTTTTTTTAATTATGTAAACTTTTAATTGTGAATTTGATTATTCAACAATTAATTATAATCTTATAATCTTATAGTTTTAGTAAATAAGAAATCGTATTCCTTTTATAAAATTTTTATTTTTAGAAATGAATTAATTAAATAGCTTCATAAATTATTATTGATTTATTAAATTAAATGATTTATTTTGTTAAATTAACGTCAGTAAGTTAATTAANTTGTTTAAATAAGATTATATATAGGTTGGATCATAAAATGTTTGCGAGGCCACTCTTTTCCAGAAGGCCCATATGCTGAAGTTTGTGGACTGGATCATAAAATGTTTGCAAGGCTCACTCTTTTCAGAAGGCCCATATACTGAATCTTGTGGGCTGGATCATAAAATGTTTGCGAGGCCCACTCTTTTCCGGAAGGCCCATATACTGAATCTTGTGGGCTGGATCATAAAATGTTTGCGAGGCCCACTCTTTTCCGGAAGGCCCATATACTGAATCTTGTGGGCTGGATCATAAAATGTTTGCGAGGCCCACTCTTTTCCGGAAGGCCCATATACTGAATCTTGTGGGCTGGATCATAAAATGTTTGCGAGGCCCACTCTTTTCCGGAAGGCCCATATACTGAATCCTGTGGGCTGGATCATAAAATGTTTGCGAGGCCCAATGTTTTCCAGAAGGCCCGTCAGTGGGCAAGCGCAACCGCCGTACAACTACCGCATTCTGGTCTTAGCCCCCGCGCCACCACGTAAAAGGCGGTAAAATCTCACAATCTATTCCCTTACAAAATCTAAGAGGTACGCCTGCTGTTCTTCATTTTTTTTTGTGGTGAATTTAATCTGGCTTTTGATTGTATTGCATATGCACACCATTAGTTTTATATTCATCTGAGAAATTTCAGTTTTTGTTTGAATGAATCTGCTTGAAAATCTTGACTAGTTTCCATCCGAATGTTGTCCAATGATATGAGGATGTACTCTATGCTTCATGATAATTTTCTGTATCGCCTTTTGGTTCACCTTTTTGTGTGTTCTGGAAGCTGCAAATTTGGTGTTACGGATGCTTTTTATTGCGCAAACTAAGTGGACTTGGAACATCATTCTTTCAAAGAATTTGTTTCAGTTTCCTTTTCCATGGAAGAAGGGTTATGTTCAATCTTTTGTTTTCTTCTTTAACCATTGATGGATTCTGTGAACATAACCCTTATTCCATGGTAGAGGGAACTGAAGCAGTGGCAATTATGGAAGTTGGATGTGTTTAAGTTCAACAGTACACACTACTTAGCAGCATTATGCGAGCCAAAATCGGAGCTTTTAGCAAATTTCTGAAATTGAGCGCAACTTATATGATCTTTGTTTGTGTGCTATTATTTTTTGTGATTAGTGTTTTACCACCTCTTAATTAGGATTGTACACAATGTTTAATCTATGTTCCATGTTCTATAGGTTTCCAGCAAACCGTTTACAGGATGTTTTGATGACCAATTCTGTGTTACAAAATAAAACCCTCTTATTCTTAGTAGCATGAAACTTGGAACTGCAAGGACTTCTTCGTTTTTACTCCATTTCCATCAGTTTTTGCGGCCATGTTCTTCAGTCCCCTCAATAACTCCAGCACAAACGCTTCAAGAAAGCATTAAAGCTGCAGTTGAGTCAAAGTCGTATAAAAAACTTCCAGATTTGTTTCCTTCTTTACAAGAAGCTTGCCAAAACCCCAATCCTTTCTCGTTTCTCTCTACTTTTCCTGTCAACTTCAGAACACAAGTTGTGGATGAGATACTGCAGTCTTTAATCCCTCTCAGACCTCGCTCAAGGCCACAGTTTGTCCATGCCTCTCTGCTTTTCTATACTCTTCAAAGCCCTTCACCCCTTCCCCTCTCTCTTCCAGTTCTCCAGCGGATTCTCCACTCTGGTTGTTTTCCTGTCCCTCAGACCCACCTTCTCCTCTCTTCTGCATGGCTAAAACAACGTCGTCAGTCTAAGTCTGTTGCTAGCATCTTGTTGGACATGCGGTCAATTGGATATGAGCCTGATAGCAGCATATGTAATTATCTTATATCCTCTCTTTGTGCCATTGATGAGTTAGCTGAGGCATTTCAAGTCTTGAAGGGTATGGGGGGAGCAGGATGCGTCCCTGACTTGGAGAGTTATGGCACTTTAATTAGTTCATCAACAGCAGTTAGACGGACAGCTGAGGCAGTGGAACTGCTGAAAGAAATGGTTGTAAAAGTTAAGTTGACACCAAGACGAGGAACGGTCATTAACGTTGTGGCTGCATTACGAGCAAACCGAGAGATAAGGAGAGCAGTTGAGATCATTGAGCTGTTGGAGAAGGAGAGTTACAATGTTGGATTTGAGAGTTATGAGATTCTTGTTGAAGGTTGTCTGGAGTGTCGTGAGTATATTTTAGCAGGAAAGGTGGTCATGGGGATGACAGAGAAAGGGTATATACCATATATCAGGGTCAGGCATAAGGTTGTTGAGGGGCTGGCTGGTATTGGAGAGACGGAACTGGCATCTGCTGTGAGACGCAGGTTTGCTGAGTTGAGGTCTTAGGTACTTTAAATTCCTTGTAAATTTATTTTCTGCATCAGAATGACCTGTGGGGATGATTTAGAGAAAAAATTTATGCGATATATACTGAATAGGTTTATTTCATTTTGTTTGAATCCTGCCTTTTTTGCTCGACTTTTTACTAATTGTAGTTGCGTCATTGGATAATCTAGTTTAGTGGATATAGAAATCTGCATTTCTCACTCCTAAAGATAGACAAGATATTGTTCGTTTTGGCCCGTTCCGTATCTCCGTGAGCCTCACGATTTTAAAATGCGTCTCACACTCTTGTGAGAAATGTTTTGTTCTCCTCACCAACCATTGTGGGATCTCACAATCCACCACCTTGGAGCCCAGCATCATCGATGACACATCGCCTAATGTCTGACTTTGATACCATTTGTAATAGCCGAACCCCGCTGCTAGCAGATATTGTCTGCTTTGGCTCGTTACGTATCATTGTCATCCTCACGATTTTAAAATACTTCTATAGGAGGAGGTTTCCACACCCTTATAAGAAATGTTTCGTTCTTCTCTCCAACCGATGTAGAATCTCACCTGCTCAATCTTTGAATGGGTAGATAGCCTCCATAGCTATGCCACAAGTACCTTGCTTATCACTTGAATCAGAATTCTCGTGTAACCAGATTCACCCCGTCAGTGCCCCATGAATGAATTCTTGACAAGCCAGTAAGATTTATTGCTAGCTTCCCCATACCCAACTACCGCCACTCCATGATTGAGTTGCTTTCCACAATTCCCTGAGAAAACTCCACCAGAATAGAACTGGAAATCAAATCCCCCTGTATGAATTGCTACAGAGACTGGCTGGTTAGCAACTGCATCTTTTATGCTTTACTCATCAATTATAGGTACTTTTTCATATCCACTTCTTGTCATAGTGGTATCTCGCTTTTTGTTTATTGCATATAGCTTCAATGTATGGATGTTCTCTTTCTGTAGTGAGTCCAGTTTTTTTCATGAACTGAAATGCTTTGTACATGAAGAGCCACCATTGCATCCCTGGGTCCCCGAGATGACATCACGGTCGACAAGCTCTTGTTCTGATTGCCAATGCCTTCCACAGCTGCTATTGTAATTTTTTTTTTTTTAAAGTTTCGAAATCTGAAGTATTTCTTCAAATGAATTATTTGTTTATTATTGGTGATTTTTTTTTTTAATTTTATAATCTTTTTTTTTAGAACGATTTTCTAGAATGTTGAAGTGAACTCTTGACATCAATATTTAAAATATCGATATCGACAGAAATATCGAGGTATCAATTTTATAGAAATGTTGATATCATTGATTAACTATTGAAAAATTATAAAACAAAAAATAAAATAAAACATTTAGCATCTTTAAAATATGTTAAAATGCTTGGCATTAATACAGTAGGGATGTAAAGAGAGGGAGAGAGAGAAAAAGATGGGAATTTGAAGCTTTTCGATAAATGTGCAGGCTTCAACGGTGGATAGTGTTAAAGTTGATAAGGTTTTATTTACTCACTGTGTTGTTATGTTGTGAAGTATGTGAGCGAAACGGCGAGTGAGGTATTTTAGCCAACTCCTCCAAACTTCAAGATGGTAGGCCAAACACACGTTTCAATTCATCGTGTTTTTGCAAGAAACGTCACAAACCAAACGCTCTAGTAAGGCAACACCTGTTTGCTTTGGATCTATTGATTTTCTTCTTCAATTTGATAGCAAAGTCATTTGCGGAATGAGTCCTCTTACGCTCGACAATCCAAACATACAAATCTCGAAAGAAAAATTTCTTTGAGGAAGCCTTAAAGAACTATAACAACAAGTACGTCCCATCTCTCATGATCCCAACCAAGCAAAGGTTTTCAAATTTTAAAAGCTCTAATATTAATGAGCCTTAACGTAGAAAGCTATCTAACCATCAGCAACACCAAGTACTTTCTCCTTTGGCCCACCGCATGATCAATCAATGACTGATCTTCAGTAAAGGAAATCAAATCAAATTTGAACCGATTATATATTCTAAGGCACATGTGGAAACCAAAAAAATATCAAAGCTTTTTCATCCATCCATTCATTTGTTCATTCGAGCCTGCCTACTTTCACTGTGGCCATTTACACGACCCCGCCAAACAAAATGCATGCCTATCTCTACACGAGTCTTTCTATTACAAGAACATCGTGTTTCAGTCTGTCTAAGGTGCTTTTGTCTTTTCTTCTCTTTTTTTCTTGCCTTTTAGCTTCCAAGAGGAATTTGAAAGATATGAACTTACTTGAGATCTTCTTGAATGGTTGCAACTTCTTAAGGAATGGATATGTCGCACATTGGAGAAGTCCTATAATAGCCCAAACTCACCGTTAATAAATATTGTCTTCTTTAGGCTTTCTCTACTATTAGCAATGAGTTTGGGCTTTACAAATGGTATCAGATCCAAACATTGGTCAGTTTGCCATTACAATATCCCACATCAGTTGGAGAAGAGGACGAAATATTCCTTATAAGGGTGTGGAAACCTCTACCGAACAGACATGTTTTAGAACCTTGAGGAAGCCCAAAAGGGAAAGGTCAAAGAGGACAATATCTACTCGCTGGTTAATTTGGCATTTACAAGTCTCATCTCCTTTTGGGTTGTACATGAGAACATATAGGAGCTTCATTGCTTCCTTAAATGATGATAAATCAAGACCTTAAACCCATTTAAACTTGTTCATTTCCTCTCTTCTTGCTAATCACTGCTGTTAAGTTCACAAGTCAGTTAAACAATAAGAATCTGATATCAAAGTTTAAGAAAAGAATATGAACCAAAATATTTAAAAGAAGAGTAATATATAGCTTATCCACAGATTAAAGAAATGAATCTTCATGGGAAACAAAAAGGGAAAGTCCTTTTCGTGTTTTTCCATCACTTTTGAGCCTAAAATAACCATGAAACCATAAGTTTCCATTGATTTGCATCATCTTGGTGCAGCTAAATCCAAATTGAATTTGACATAAGAAAAAGAAGTGTGTGGATTGTATTGATGGGGAGCAAGGGAAACAGGTCATTTTCCAGCATTTGTTCAGTTTATGTGGCTACAGGCGCTACTACCACAAAAACATACTCCAAACTGCTGCACATGCTGTCAAAATAACCTGTATAAACCACAAGCTCTATCCTTTCTCTATCCTAATCCCAATCATACACTAACTTCTTGCTTTCCAATAAATCATGAAACTAAGCACAGCCTTAGCACACAAAAAAAATCCCTCCCTCCTTCCCTTTCTCTCTCTCTTTCTCTAGAAGAGAGAACTAAACGATAAAAAAACAATGGTAACTTCATGGAAAAACTCCCTAGTTCCTGTTGGCTATGGTATGCCTTTTTCAACAGTTAATTTTCTGCTTGTTTTAACAGGTTCTAGTCTCAAAACATGGGGGAGGAGGGGAAGAAGATGCTGCAGTGGATTTTAGGGGAAACCCAGTGGACAAGTCAAGAACCGGGGGATGGCTTGCCGCAGGACTCATCTTAGGTGCTTAAAATTATAAGTTTATCGATGTAATAAGCTAATGAGTAGCCATTCTAAATGCCCAAAATGATGCAGTGAACTGAACTCTCTGAAAGGATATGTGTGATGGGCATATCAATGAACTTAGTGACATATCTACTTTGGGATCTGCATCTCTCTTCAGCTAAGTCTGCAACTATTGTGACTAATTTTCTTGGAGCCCTTAATCTTCTTGGCCTTCTTGGTGGCTTCTTAGCTGATGCCAAGCTGGGACGGTTCCTCACTGTTGCAACCTCTGCTTCCATAACTGCTGTGGTAAGTTCTGAGCCATTAAGAATGGCTTCAACAGAGAAATTTCTGCTTTATCCTCAGCTTTCCCGGTTTTTGCAAGGTGTGATTTTGTTAACACTGGCCACAACCATCCCTGGCATGAGACCTCCTCATTGTGATATCTCCTCCACAAGGCAACTTCATCAATGCATTGCGGCTAATGGTGGGCAACTTGCCATGCTCTATGCTGCACTTTATACCATAGCACTCGGCGGCGGGGGGATAAAATCAAATGTGTCAGGATTCAGGTCCGATCAATTTGATGTCAACGATCCAAAGGAAGAGAAGGCTATGTTATTCTTCTTCAATAGATTCTACTTTGCCATAAGCATTAGATCGTTGTTTGCTGTGATTGTGTTAGTTTATGTACAAGACTATGTGGGAAGAGGCTGGGGCTATGGAATCTCAGGAGGGACCATGGTGATTGCTGTAATTGTATTGGTTTGTGGGACAACATTTTACAGGTTTAAGAAGCCTAGAGGAAGTCCTCTAACAGTGATATGGAGGGTAGTGCTTCTGGCTTGGAAGAAGAGAAGCCTCCCTCATCCAGTTCATCCCAGGTTCTTAAATGACTACCAAAATGCCAAGGTTCCTTACACCTACAGGTTCATGTAAGTGTTCTTCAGATCTATAGGCTAGCTATAAATGGAAAAAAGTAGATTTGTTCGTCCAATCCACAAGTAAATTGGTGGATTCAATTCAGTTAATTTATTTGGTTATCTTTATCATTTTGGCAAGGAAATAGTGTAATGAAAACGTGAATATTAGGTGTCTAGACAAGGCTGCAATTCTGGACGAGGTTGCAGCGATCAATCAAAACAGATATAATCCCTGGATAGTCTCGACCGTGACTGAAGTCGAGGAAGTGAAAATGGTTCTGAAGCTTTTACCCATATGGTCCACTGGCATCCTCTTTTGGGCGATCTACTCTCAGATGACTGACTACATTCACAGTAGAGCAAGCATCATTTATGGAGAGAAAAGTTGGCAAGTTCGTGATTCCTGCTGGTTCTATGTAAGCCTTTCTATTCATCGCCATCCTGCTAGTCACTTCCATGAACGAGAAACTGTTCATTCCCTTTTCTCGGAAACTGACTCTCAATGTCCAAGGTCTCACAAGCCTACAGAGGATTGGGATTGGCGTTGTTTTCTCAATTTTTGGCATGGTGGCTGCTGGATTTGTTGAGAAGGAGAGGAGGGGGTTTGCTGTGGGACAAAATACTCTTATAAGTGTTTTCTGGTTAATACCTCAGTTCTTCTTGGTTGGTGCTGGAGAGGCATTTGCATATGTTGGACAACTCGAGTTTTTCATCAGAGAAGCACCAGAACGAATGAAATCCATGAGCACAGGACTTTTCCTTAGCACCCTTTCCATGGGATTTTTTGTAAGTAGTTTGTTGGTGACGATCGTAGAAAACGTAACCAACAAGCAATGGCTGAAAAGTAATCTCAACAAGGGAAACTTAAACTACTTCTATTGGCTACTTGCAGTGTTGGGACTGCTGAACTTTTTATTTTTTCTTCTACTTGCCCAGAAACATCAGTACAAAGACCAGCATTATTCCAGTTCTAATGACAACGATGAGGAGCTCAAGAGTTCAAGTAACATGATCGCACATGAAATGGAAGGACCAATTAGCATGAAGGCAACAGAAACCTAGGGTGTGTGCTTCAAGGTGTGTCCCTTTTATGAGTTTAAGAGCCTGTGTGTAAGTTTGTAATATCTCAAAGCCTTTACCAACAACTAAAACCATCCTAGGCTCTTAGAATTAATGAGCAGGTTAGCAGAATTTAGCATGTTTCAAATAATGTTCAAAAGTGAAAAGGGCGTGCATTCATTGATGATAATAGCCATGTTCCTTCGCAGGCTTCTTACAGAAAGTAGCATCATCAAAAGCGACATTCCATTTTCAAACAGGCAAACCTTTCAATAAGTTATTCTAGTCACTAAACTCAGCAAGATGTATAGAGCATAAAAGCTTTGATTGTCAAATAATTCAAGAAAAATAAACTGCTCAAATGTAATTCTTCTCAACATCGTCCCAATACTTAAGAACTAAACCTGACCTCTAACAGCAACCCATGTTTTCAAGAAGAACCCGAACATGGAGCGAGGTGATTTACAACTAAAGGAGGTCGAAGAGCTTTGTGCTGTTCCATCTTCTGTTTACGGGCTTTAAACATTTCTTCTGTTTCAACGACTACTAATCGCTTTACCTGTAATTAAATTGAGAAAAACAAGGATGAGATTGCATTCAGTCCCCATGAGGTCATTCTGTAA